GAGGTTTAGGTTAGACATGAGGAAAAACTTTTTCTCTCAGAGAGCGGTCAGGCATTGGAATGGCCTGCCCAGAGAGGTCATGGAGTTGTCCCTGGCAGTGTTGAAGAGGTGTCTGGATGAGGAGCTACGAGATACGGTTTAGTAGCTGGTAGTAGCAATGGTAATGGGAAGACAGTTGGACTACATGATCTTGTCGGTGCTTTCCAACCTTGTGATTCTATGATTCTGTGATTCTATGATTCTTTAGAACAAGAGTTTTAAAGAAATAAAAAGTCTTGTGCATATTGACAGTAGGTTGATACTGCCAGAGAAAATACCGAAGACTTAGTTTTCCAGTAAAGGATTTCCTGTACAACATCGTTTTGTGCACTGAGATTTCTTCAACTTAGAGCACCTTTTATTTTAATCTGTTATAATTTTTCATTACATGTAAATACTTAGTGTGTGCATATTACACTTGTAACATTTCCTATCATTATTTCTGCTACTTCACTTTTTTAGCCCTTGAAATATAGGAATAAATAAAGAAAAAAAATTGTTAAACCCATTACAATAGAGGACAAACTGAAATGGAGAGTCTATGTCATACTATTCATTTTCCTGTGAACAACACCCTCTCATCTTACTCATTATACTCATCTTACATTGTTATCTGCTGTCTTTTCCTTCTTATATTGCTAGGAACTAGTCCCAACTCTGATCCTTATTTCTGTTTGGCAATATTGAGACTGTTGCTCTAATAAGACTTTCTATACAGAATCCAAATTGATCAAAGGCTTAGAGTTGCAGTGCTGTCTTGGGTGTCACTTGGATAACAATATTTGTCTTCTGCTTTCCTTGTTTGGTAAGTAAAGATTGTTCTTCATGAAAAGGACACAAAAGAATACCTTGAGCATCTTCCATTAAAAGCACTGTATTTATTTTTACTCATTCACAATGCAATACCATGTACATATTCCAGAGAGCATTCACTCCATTTAGGTTACTTTGACATCCTATTATGACTGGTGTACCATCAGACTGAAGCTTCAAAAGAGACACATTCAGAGTAAACAAAAGATAGAACTTTAAGTAGCAAGCCTAAAAGTAGAAAATATCTATCAGTGAATATTAGAGCAACATTTACTCTAAGTTTGGCCAGAGAGACATTCAGGCATTTTTGCTACTGTCTTCTCTTTCTTTTTTCTGGCACAAAATAAATGAGTGGAAAACATGAAAGAGCATCAAGGAAACTGCTAGTTTTTATAAAGTTGCTGTCTTATAGAAAAGTGAAATTTATCAGCTGTGGTTATTTTCCAGAATGCCTCTCAAATTATTACCTTAATTGCATTGCTGGCAGAGTATGCAGTTTTTATTAATCAATAAGACAGTGATCCACACAATGGGACAAGCAGCCACTAATCATTATCTCATCATCAATCTCTAAATCTGTTTTCCATTATTAAAATCCACAATACTCTGTAGGTTCCCCAACAATAATATTTTACAATTGCAGTGTATGTCACATCATAAGTTTTCACTGTGGACGGGGTTTAATTTCAGTGTTAGCTGTATCACTCTGAGCTCTTCCATACAGTATTCAGTATGGAAGATATAATGGGCCAGTAATGACAGCACCATGGCTTTACCAACTGAGGTCACAGATATTTAAAGCTATGTGTATGTCCTGATGCACAGATGCTGTTCCTAGGTGGGGGAAGAAGGAGAGGAACATGGTGGTGTTTTCCATTAAAATTGACTGAGGCTGAAGTGGTGTGTCCTAGCTCAGGTGCCCTTGAGTAGCATGTGGTGTGTATGGAGGACCTCACAGAAGGTCAGGTTGTGTGTGCCCATATGGTAGCAGAGGAGTGGAGGGAGGCCTCATGGTGGCTGCTGCTCCTCACAGGAACCAGAGAGGCAACACTGAGCTCTGCTCTCTGGTGGCAGTGAGAGTCCAAGGGAACAGCATGGGGCTATGTGAGGAGGATCAAGAGGGTGCCAGAGAAAGGTTCTTCACCAAAGGGTGGTCATGCTCTGGAACAGGCTCCCCAGGGCAGTGTCATGGCCCCTCGCTGCCAGAGTTTCAACTGTTTGGACAGCACTCTCAGAAATATGCTTTGAACTTTGGGTGGTACTGTGTGAATCCAGAAGTTGGACACAGTGATTTTTACGGGTTTCTTACAGCTTTGGATGTCCTGTGATGTCTGCCCTACCCTGTAAGCACTGGGACTGCTGGATGTGTGAGAGTTGTTGGTGTGTGAATTTTGATGTTGGGAGCAAACATGCAGTCTGCTGGCTACCAGCTTGTACTTCTGTGTCAGTCCATGACCTTCTGTATTGGCTTTGCTGTATTTCCCATGGAACAGGGAGGTCATATGACTTTTTAACATCAAACATATTCGTGCACATAAATGCTTTGGCATCTGAATTCATTTAGCAGCAGACTGCCATTTTGATCTCAAACCATAACAGCCTCCCAGCTGAAGCTTACCAAGACGTCCTTCTTTTAAAAGACAAGCAATACTAATCTAACTCCAACACAACACGTTAAGAATGTATCTTCTCCTTCCAGCCTTCTTTAGCAGCACACAAGGGAAGTCCGTTTTTGATGTTCCTGTAAAGGTAGACAAAGAGAGAACTCTCTCTAGGGAAAGAAGTGGCCAAGGTGAGTGCAGCTCTGCCTTCTAGGAAAAAAGCCTGTGGGGTGTGAGTTGCAGTTTACATTTCAGTGTTCTTATTTTCACAGGTTTTTCATTATGTACTACCATGAAACTTAGTCCTTGGAAGCCAAAGCTTGCTTAGCCTTAAACTTAAAATTTAAATGAAGTTGATAGTATATATAATTTCAAGAAAGGCAATAAAAAATGAGTAAGCAAGTGTTTTATTCCAGTCCAGCATATTACTTTAATAAATGGGAATTTTTTCCAGTCATTTTACTTCTTTTTGAAAGTAGAAAATAAACCTAGATATACCTAATGAAATAATTAAGTAACCATAATAGTGTTTTAAATTCTGCGATACACTGTGATGAAACAGTGGTGCTATCAAACATAACACGGAAATAAAAATCAGTGCTGCAAGTACAGAATCTGGGCAAGCCTGCATCCACCTTTCAGTTTTACTCTAGATAAACAAATTTATACTGTTTTGTCTAGACAAGACTGCTCGTGATAGGAATTAATTACTTTTACCAGGTGTCCTATCATTTCTTAAATAATATCACTGTTGCCTCTCTAAAGCCTGCATAAATTTTGAAAGAATGACTGACTTTATTTGCTTCAAGTTTCTCATGGGTATTTCTATTCTTTGCTTTCAACAACCAGTATACTAACTTCAGTGCTTTTTTTTTTTTTTTTTTTTTTTTTTTTTAACTCTCATCTTCAGCCCTCTTAACAACAATTTTTTTTTTTTTGTCCCTCATGCCTGCAGTCTCACAGAGAACATTCTTCTGTGATCAGATTACTCACAATCATTCAAAATCAGAATTATAAAAGTATTTTTGTACTTTCCCAGGATTTCACTCTTCATATTTATTTTTTTTTGTTATGTTAGTCTCCACTCATTTGGGACCCATTCCTGATTTATTATTCATAGTCTGTATATTTTGTTTAGATAAACAGACAAGATAATCACTTCCCTGTTCAACACAAAATGAATACAGTGGCTGTTTCTGCTCCTCTGAAATGAGCTCTAACTTTGTGCAGTGACCCTGACCAGAGAACACCATACTTTCAAGAGTCATTGATTCAAAAAAAACCTTAATCGAGGCAGATCCAGGACTTTCTTGTTCTACAGAAATCACTTGGCCACAGGATAACCTTAGCCAGCTCCTTGAAACAGAGACACTACCTGCAACTGCACCACCTTGTCTATATCTAACAGTAAAGCAAGATGTGACTGTCATTTCTCTTTGACTTTCTTAGTGAAAATAACATATAATAATCAGAGAAATGGAAATGGGAGTATCTGCGCTGTGGACAAGGTCTGCATTATGTGCTATGCAAAGGATAGAATCCAGTTTGATGCTATACCACCTGGGAAGCCTGCCATGTGAAGTGGTATAAGGTTATCCGTGTTATTTGTATCTTAGAGTTTTAGCTCTAATAAATATAATTATATATCTTATGTGTTACCTTAAAAAGTCTAAGTGTCCCTAAGTGTCTCTTACTGGTGTCATGATGGACTAACACCTTCTAGAGAAAAACATCTTGAATATCAAGTAAAGAAATAAAGAAAAGAAATCAAATTGGCAAAGAAGAATAATGGGATACAAAAAGACTTGAGTTCTTGATACTTAGAAACATTTTACCTGTCTGGCTATCAGAAAAAAACTCATTTCAGTCCTATCAGGAAAGGTATCTGCAGTTCAGAACAGGTGTAATGCAACTTCTGATCAGATTTGTTTCTTTAATGAAGGTTATTAATTTCTACAAAATTGGAAAAGATTCACCAATTTGTTTTGATTAAATGACTACTGATGACAAACCAGTGACAGAAACAGTCTGTGCAAACATGCTGTGATATTACATCACTGAAGCCATGAAAAAGCAGAGGTTAAATATCACACAGATAATAAGGTCAGAAGAAAACATGATAACAAACATCCTTGCAAGCATCCTTCGCACCAAAATAATTAACTGTAAACATTTTTAGTTGATTTAAAATAAGGCTATCACAGCAATAAGTGGAATCTTAGAAACAGCTATAGATATTTGATTTCTGCCCTTAATATTTGAAATGCAACTCCTCTACACGCATACGTTTTGAATTGTAAGTATCAATTCATATTCATCCAAGGGAAGGAAAAAAGAAGTGGCATTAAAATAAGTGCATGTTTTGCACGTGCAAATGGGTCTGGAGTTAAAAGATAACTGTTCAGCATGTAAGTAGTGCCAAAAAACGTCATTAATGGCTAGGTACCATAACATCTTAGAAAGAGATTTCTACTTCAATAATTTGTTTCTGCTATAAATAATTCAACTGAATTTTCTGAGACTGGACCTTGGTCTGCTCCAGGTGAAAGTTTTTCCAGGTGAAAATATTTTCTTTTATTTAGTAATGGATTTTTGGCCAGTGAGGTCATGTCATCATTTTAACTCGACGAAGTCCATGTACTAGGAATCCAAAGAAAGATGAGGGTCCTGTCAGGAAGACATAAACAAAACCTGAAGCTGTTTCAGATCCACAGAAGTCTGATATGGGACTGAGGAAAGACAGAGAAATTGGTGTAATAATTCAGGATTAGTAGGATGAGACCTTTCTTTCCTAGCAAAACTAACAATCTTTCAAACATGATTAGAATAAATTATTTCATTTCAAGCTTCAACCTGTATACATTGTATTTTCCTTCAGGAGCTTATCAACTAAATATATTTGATTTGATTGCAGGAATACAGATTGATGATGGCAAGCCGTACATACAATTTTATATCAATAAACATTCAAAGTAAAACTACCAAGTGTTTATAGATGGCAAAATGTGTCCCGGAACATGCTATTCATATGACCACTTCTTTCTGTCTCTTAGTTTTTTTTAAAGGTTATGCTAAGTTTAGTTAACATTTTTCTTCAATAAAGTTCATGGGCTTTTTTATCTTATTCACCTAATAAAACTATTTTGTCAATTTAAAAGTAAGAAAAAATGGAAAATCAGTTTAATAAATTAAATATTTGTATTAAAATAGTATAGAAAATACTGCAAATTTAAGGTTAAAAAAAAAAAAAAGTAGAATGTGGAATTGAAGTGCAATCAATACAGTCTAACTTTGACTATTTACATTAAGAGGTTGAATATTTTATGTAGTGATGTTTCCGTTCAGTTTCACTAATTTGTATTTCTAAATTCATTTTTAATGGTTTTGAAATGTCAGTTATATTTGTGGAAAGAATAAAGTCCTGAAAAGTTATTAATTTGTTCTTAGACAACTCTTGATGGAAAAAAAAAATCTTGAAAGATTCTGGATTTTTTGCTTCGTTGAAATTTATTTCCTGATATTCTTAACTGAAATTTGATCCCCATTAACTAATTATTGAATAATTTACATTTGATATTGTAGAATGCACTGAGATGCACATTGGACCTATTCCATTCATATTAGGCTCAGTGCGTCAATGGAGATATTTTGGAAACAGATATACTCAGTACAAAAATTTAGTGTACTGATAAAGTACAAAAGACCACGCAAAACTAATTCACAGTGTAGAACTTTTACATAGATAGCATTAGAGTGACCTTTAAAGAACATTTTTGTCCAAAAAAGTGAGAGAGAGAGAGAGAGAGAGAAAGAAGAAAGAAAGAAAGAAAGAAAGAAAGAAAGAAAGAAAGAAAGAAAGAAAGAAAGAAAGAAAGAGAAAAGGAGAAAGAAAAAGAAATGAGAAAGAAAGAAGGAAAGAAAGGAAGGAAGGAAGGAAGGAAGGAAGGAAGGAAGGAAGGAAGGAAGGAAGGAAGGAAGGGAAAGAAAGAAAAGACAAGGATATAATGGATATAATTCTTTACTGCCTGTAGCATATTCTGATGGCAACTTATATGGAAAAATGCATTCACAGCAGATATTTGTCTTCTTACACTCTTACATTAACCTTAACATGATATCTACATAATGATGAAATAGTTAAAGTGAAAAGATTTAACCTCCTTCTCTGATCCTTCATAATTTATGCTATTGTTAAAAAAATACATATATTTGTCATGGAGTAATGCATTTTAAGAAATAGATTGTGTAGTAAGTGCTCAAGAGTGATATGATCTGATAAAAGGGATTAAAAATGTCTGGTCCTGTACTAATTTATTTCTGTTACTCCATAAGGTGGACTAAGAGAAGAAAAGAATAATATCAGAGTGGACAAGAATTATTTGATGGATAGGATGACTGTGTTATTAAACATTAAAATGCTAATAAGAGAAGCAATTGGAAGAGTGCAAATTTCTATACCTTAGATAATGAATTTAGTAGGTATCACAAAACACAACTGAAGTAATTCAGAGATGTGGAAGATATACATTCATCTTGCTATTTTTCATTAAAAAAAAATAAACCATATACAAGAATATATGATATTGCCATGTGCAGAAACATGCAGACATGCCTGAACTTAATAATGAACTTCCTGAGTCTCCTATTGGTCACATGTAGAATGATGAAACAAATAAGAACATGACAAAAAAACTCACAAATTTTCTTTCTATGAAATCATATTTATCAACTTTTCATTTACCTTTTCTCTGTTACTTCATATAATTACATTTTAACTCTGTTTATATGAATTTCTGGCATGCAACATGATGTTAATAAGTTGCAGGGTACAATTTTTCACAGTACAAAAACCAATCATTTAAATTTGTTCAGATCTGTTTACCCGTCAATTTCAACAAGTTTCTTTGTTTTACTGCTATGGAAAATAGACTTTTATTATTCTCTGATCACATTAATTGATTCTATAGAAGAGTTTTATGTGTCCATATCGAGAAGATGCAGAAGCTACCATGTATCTATAGTAATCCAGTCATCCTTCTCTGGGACGTTATCTAGCTTTACCATGTTGTTTTGATTGTGGAATAAGACTCACATGAGATCATCAGTACATTGTATAAAGTAAATCATTTTTGCTTTACTTTATTGCAGCCTTCAAACTCCAGTATCTTTAGAAAGCATAATGTTTCTCCACAAAAGTTTTGTTTTCACTTTACCAGTATGATCATTCTGGGAATCTCATTTACCAAGAGAGTATTTCTGTATGCATTTACTGATCTCATTTTAGGCAATTCCTGCTAGTGTAATATATAAAAATTGCATTATATAGAATTCAGAATTTATATTCAGTAAGATACTTAGGCAGAAGTCTTAATTTCTTCTCCAAAATGTCTACCATAGTAGATATCTATCTTCTTGATCTTAGCCAATTTTAAGAAAATATTCATCCTCTATTGTCAGTGTTTAATATAACTCATGATTGAGTATTTGTCATTTTTCACACCATGAATTTGCTTTCAAGCTCACCCTTCAACTCCTGGTGGTTAGGTACATAAAACTCCTTAAGAAGGAACTTCCTTGAACTAATTCATAGAATCATAGAATCACTCAGGTTGGAAAGATCAAGATCATTGAGTCCAATCATGACCTAACCATACTAATTAGTAGTGAATTCATTTAGAATTCTATGAAAGATTTTCTTTCTGCATGCAAATCCACGCACATACCCACCCTTGAGGCTGCGTGCCTCATGCAAGACACAAAACAGAATATAGTTTTGGAATGCATTGTAAATATCTTCATGCTCAGATGACATAATTAATAGGAGTCCTGACAAAAGGACAAAAAATGCAGGTTAATAAAAGAATTTTATAATAGTGAGAAGGGAGAAGGGTCAGGAAGTTAATAACACAAGAGAGGGCAGGAAGAGATCTTTTTTCCCTCCTCAACAGCAAAATCAGTGCAGTGAGGAAAGTTGGGAAGATATTACTATTCCACATATTTAATGCTAATGCAAAAGATTTTTGTTAGCAGTGTTGAGAACAGTTCAACCTAATGTAAAAAAATTGCCCTCTTAGTTCTATCCAAGTTCATACCTTCAAAGATTGTCTGATATCAACTCACAGTGAGGGTGAGAAAAATGTTTCAAACCAGATTATGGAGTAGAAAATTAAGCCAAAGTAAACAACACTGACCCCCCAAAAATATGTTTAAGAAGGAAAAAAAAGATATTGCATTGGCTTCAGATTTATTCTTGGTGGGTTTTTCACATCATTTCAATTTTGAATAGACTATTACTATTAGATTATTTTTTTCTGAGGAAACAGTGTATCTGTAGCAAGCGGAGTTGAATGTAGAAGGAGCAACTCACAATTGCCTAAAAGTGTAAAAAATGTAAGTAGCCAATTTACAAGAGGAAAGAAAACATCTTTATGTTTTAGACGATCAGCTTCATGAAACTTGTATAAGTAAAGACAGAATTTGTCTGCATATGCAGTCTAATAATTGTACATATATGTATTAATCATGGTTAACACCCCATTCTACTATGATTTCAGTTGTCAAGTATAAATTGCATGTTCAGACCAAACAGAAGTTACAGTTTGGCTCTAAATATTAACTTATATATATTATAATATAATATATATATTATATTATATATAATTATATATAATAATATTAACTTATATATATGTATAATTTATACATGAAGTAACAGCCAGCTGTTTCAACACAAAAATACATTCATTGAATATTCTGTACATTTTTTCTAAATATAGGAAGTTTATGTATATCGCACATAAAGTTCATTGCCTATATGTATATTAAATGAGAATGCAAACTCTCTTAGTGGCATAAATATTTTAAACAAAAACATTCATCTTGCAGACAGTAAGTTGTACCTAGAGATTCTGGGAAAATCTGTGGTGGAATATCACAATCTGTTAGAAAACTTGTGACAACTAGGTAGCCATCTATCTCTTCTCAGGTTATGGACCCACACTGACATCAGTGTCTGAAACACTCACAGCAATCTGTGATCTCAGAGCTAGTCTTTGTTTTCTTGGATTTTATTTTTGTGATCAAGGTAATGCAATGCATTTGCAGGTTTGTTTTTTTTTTTTTTCATACTCATAAAATGTGACAGGAAAAAAGTGCCTTTTTGTATCCTATCAGTTTACTGTGAATCTGCACTGGATGATATCTTTTTTTTTTTTTAACATCTCAGTAAAATACCGATACAGTAAAAGTTAATCTTTTGAATACTATTTCTATTAATCTATTTTGAATTGAATATAAAGCTTAATTTATAAGGATTTTTTTATAAGCTAATGTGTTCTTTTTCCTCGCCCTTATGCTCTTTTCTATGACTCTCACAGTCAACATTTTTAATTTTAAACACAATATCCATGCAATTTGCCTCATTTTATCCAAACTAGTAACTTGGAAGGATCTGAAAGCCGCTGAGAACATTCTAAATTGGTATCTGTGGCATGGACATGAACCACAGAGGATAATTTAAAAAACTCACCATTTCAACCTACTTCACTGTAACCCTCTGAGATAAAAGTGGCAGCTCAGGCACTGGTTTCCAGCCCAAATCAGCCTTTTTCCTTCCCTAGTCAAAAACATGCAGAAATCTAATACAGCCTGTATTTTCTAGCTCTTTTGCTGACAGAGACTTTCAATAACAAGCTGAGAGTCAATTTCATTATTGTTTTCATTTTGCCTC